ACAAATTAACTTTTAACAAGAAGCTGGTTAGGAGAATGCCAAGAGTGTGCAAAGCTGTCATCAAGGCAAAGGGAGGCTACTTTGAAGAATCTCAAATATAAAATATATTTATATTTGTTTAACTTTTTTGGTTACTACATGATTCCATATGTGTTATTTCATAGTTTTGATGTCTTCACTATTATTCTACAATGTAGAAAATAGTAAAAATAAAGAAAAACCCTTGAATGAGTAGGTGTCCAAACTTTTGACTGGTACTGTATATCTCCCTTTCCATCTCTCCATCTATCCCCTCCATCTCTCCATCTATCTCCTCCATCTCTCCCCTCCATCTCTCCATCTATCCTCTCCATCTATCCATCTCTCCCCTCTATCCCCTCCATCTGTTCATCTATCCCCTCCATCTGTCCATCCATCTATCCCCTCCATCTCTCCCCTCCATCTCTCCATCTATCCCCTTCATTTCTCCATCTATCCCCTCCATCTGTCCATCTATCCCCTCCATCTCTCCATCTCTCCCCTCCATCTCTCCCCTCCATCTCTCCCCTCCATCTCTCCCCTCCATCTATCCCCTCAATCTCTCCATCTATCCCCTCCATCTCTCCATCTATCCCCTCCATCTCTCCATCTATCCCCTCCATCTCTCCATCTATCCCCTCCATCTCTCCATCTATACCCTCCATCTCTCCATCTATACCCTCCATCTCTCCATCTGTCCATCTATCCCCTCCATCTGTCCATGGTCCCTGCATTGGGCGAGGGACACTCGTAAGCCTGTCTGTCACTGCCATCAACAGACCTGGGTTCAAATACTATTGGATTTCTTTCAAAGACTTTCATAGTCTGACTGAGCCTGCCTGGAGTGACAGATGTACGTGGTTTGCACTTTTGGGACTATTCCGTTGGTTCCATTGTGCCAGGAATACTGAATCAAGCGCAGCTAAAGTACTGAAAATAAAAAATACTGTGTGAACTCAGGTCAAGTCAGGTCGGGTCAGGTCATGATGAACACCATAGTTTGTGATTATGCCGAGTCACCCTGCATGCCACCTGTACTGTACCACCTAACACCTAAGGCTGCCAGCTGCCATGGAAGTAGAACAGGAGGGGTCTCTGTCTCCATCTGTGCTTCCATCTATCCATCCGCAGGTGGGGAGTCAGTGGCTAATGATATATGTGTGTGTGTGTGTGTGTGTGTGTGTGTGTGTGTGTATGTCTCTTCGCTGGCTCAGTGACAGTTTTAGGACCCCCTCGACAGCAAAGAAAATAATCCCTCATCGCCGTTTGACCTTCCACTCTCCTGGCGCTTCAAAACACGTGTTTTAAACACACACACACACACTTCATTCTGCTCCGACATGCCAGAGGTTGATAATTACCCGTCCAGGTACATACAGCAACACCTCGGGCACGACAGGCGCTGGGGCTCCTGTCATTGTGCACAGTCAGACATTAAACACATGCACATGCCTTTCCATGGCCATTTGTGCTCTAGTGTCCAATTAAGGGCTGCATCAGTTTCAGGCACACAGTGAGCAGCGCCTCGTGACGGTACAGTTTGGCTGTTGTGTGTGTGTGTGTTGACAGACAGACAGAGGCAGATGATTGTTGTGCATCTCAATGCAGTCTGTGCCACATCAGTGCATCCGTAAACAAACACTTCCATCATCGAGTAGCAAAGCGGTTTGATTCAACAATATACAGTGAGGGAAAGAAGTATTTGATCCCCTGCTGATTTTGTACGTTTGCCCACTGACAAAGAAATTATCAGTCTATAATTTTAATGGTAGGTTTATTTGAACAGTGAGAGACAGAATAACAACAAAAAAATCCAGAAAAACGCATGTCAAAAATGTTATAAATTGATTTGCATTTTAATGAGGGAAATAAGTATTTGACCCCCTCTCAATCAGAAAGATTTCTGGCTCCAAGGTGTCTTTTATAAAGGTAACGAGCTGAGATTAGGAGCACACTCTTAAAGGGAGTGCTCCTAATCTCAGCTTGTTACCTGCATAAAAGCCACCTGTCCACAGAAGCAATCAATCAATCAGATTCCAAACTCTTCACCATGGCCAAGACCAAAGAGCTCTCCAAGGATGTCAGGGACAAGATTGTAGACCTACACAAGGCTGAAATGGGCTACAAGACCATCGCCAAGCAGCTTAGTGACAAGGTGACAACAGTTGGTGCAATTATTCGCAAATGGAAGAAACACAAAATAACTGTCAATCTCCCTCGGCCTGGGGCTCCATGCAAGATCTCACCTCGTGGAGTTGCAATGATCATGAGAACGGTGAGGAATCAGCCTAGAACTACACGGGAGGATCTTGTCAGTGATCTCAAGGCAGCTGGGACCATAGTCACCAAGAAAACAATTGGTAACACACTACGCCGTGAAGGACTGAAATCCTGCAGCGCCCACAAGGTCCCCCTGCTCATGAAAGCACATATACAGGGCCGTCTGAAGTTTGCCAATGAACATCTGAATGATTCAGAGGAGAACTGGGTGAAAGTGTTGTGGTCAGATGAGACCAAAATCGAGCTCTTTGGCATCAACTCAACTCGCTGTGTTTGGAGGAGGTGGAATGCTGCCTATGACCCCAAGAAAATCATCCCCACCGTCAAACATGGAGGTGGAAACATTATGCTTTGGGGGTGTTTTTCTGCTAAGGGGACAGGACAACTTCACCGCATCAAAGGGATGAAGGACGGGGCCAAATCTTGGGTGAGAACCTCCTTCCCTCAGCCAGGGCATTGAAAATGGGTCGTGGATGGGTTTTCCAGCATGACAATGACCCAAAACACACGGCCAAGGCAACAAAGGAGTGGCTCAAAAAGAAGCACATTAAGGTCCTGGAGTGGCCTAGCCAGTCTCCAGATCTTAATCCCATAGAAAATCTGTGGAGGGAGCTGAAGGTTTGAGTTGCCAAACGTCAGCCTCGAAACCTTAATGACTTGGAGAAGATCTGCAAAGAGGAGTGGAACAAAATCCCTCCTGAGATGTGTGCAAACCTGGTGGCCAACTACAAGAAACGTCTGACCTCTGTGATTGCCAACAAGGGTTTTGCCACCAAGTACTAAGTCATGTTTTGCAGAGGGGTCAAATACTTATTACCCTCATTAAAATGCAAATCAATTTATAACATTTTTGACATGCGTTTTTCTGAATTTTTTTGTTGTTATTCTGTCTCTCGCTGTTCAAATAAACCTACCATTAAAATTACAGACTGATCATGTCTTTGTCAGTGGGAAAACGTACAAAATCAGCAGGGGATCAAATACTTTTTTCCCTCACTGTACATCTGGCCTGTCATTGGACACTGTGTTAACAAACCTCCAAACGAGCTTCAATGCCATACAACACTCCTTCCGTAGCCTCCAACTGCTCTTAAACACTAGTAAAACTAAATGCATGCTCTTCAACCGAACGCTGCTTGCACCCGCCCACCCGACTAGAATCACTACTCTCGGCGGGTCTGACCTAGAGTATGTGGACAACTACAAATACCTAGGTGTCTGGTTAGACTGTAAACTCTCCTTCCAGACTCACATTAAGCATCTCCAATCAAAAGTTAGATCTAGAATCGGCTTCCTATTTCGCAACAAAGCCTCCTTCACTCATGCTGCCAAACATGCCCTCGTAAAACTGACTATCCTACCGATCCTTGACTTTGGCGATGTCATTTACAAAATAGCCTCCAATACTCTACTCAGCAAATTGGATGTAGTCTATCACAGTGCCATCCGTTTTGTCACCAAAGCCCCATATACTACCCACCATTGTGACCTGTACGCTCGTTGGCTGGCCCTCAATACATATTCTTCGCCAAACCCACTGGCTACAGGTCATCTATAAATCACTGCTAGGCAAATCCCCGACTTACCTTAGCTCACTGGTCACCATAGCAACACCCACCCGTAGTCTGCGCTCCAGCAGGTATATCTCACTGGTCATCCCCAAAGCCAACACCTCCTTTGGCCGCCATTCCTTCCAGTTCTCTGCTGCCAATGACTGGAACGAACTGCAAAAATCTCTGAAGCTGGAGACTCTTATCTCCCTCACTAACTTTAAGCATCAGTTGTCAGAGCAGCTTACCGATCACTGCACCTGTACACAGCCATTCTGAAATTAGCCCACCCAACTACCTCATCCCCATTTTGTTATTTATTTTGCTAATTTGCACCCCAGTATCTATATTTGCTCATCATCTTTTGCACATCTATCATTCCAGTGTTAATACGAAATTGTAACTATTTTGCACTATGGCCTATTTATTGCCTTACCTCCATAACTTACTACATTCGCACACACTGTATATATATTTTCTGTTTGTATGTTTTGTTTACCCCATATGTAACTCTGTGTTGTTGTTTTTATCGCACTGCTTTGCTTTATCTTGGCCAGGTCGCAGTTGTAAATGAGAACTTGTTCTCAACTGGCTTACCCGGTTAAATAAAGGTGAAAGAAAAACAATCAAACGCATGTGTGATCCTGAGAGAAAGAGCTTGAACCACACAGAGATATCAAGAAAGACAATAAAAGTGTGTGTGACTGTGAGTGCAAGCATCCGTGAGAGAGAGCGAAAAGTGAATAAGAAAAAGGAGAGGAGTGAATGGGCATTTCCTCGCACTTACCTTTTAGAGACTGACAGTGAGGATAGCTAGCATCAGAACTATAAACCGTAATAGCACCACATGGGTTCACTCCCCCTACATTGTTCCAGTACACTTAGTGTTAAGGGAGAAGGACGGCTCAGTTTGTTCTGGCCCTGTCCTGTACCATCATTACTGCATGAAAGTGTCAGAACAGGGCTTTTAGCTAGACTTGAATGAGGTCATCAAATATAACTTCAAGACATTTTCACAGTTGAATGGCTTGCCCCTGATGTAATGTGATGAGGGTAGTTTATTTTACCCCGAGAGGCCCTGACAACTTCTTCTCAGGGACTTTTACTAAGTTGTGGCGTTGTTGTAGTATCCAGAAGTAATGCTTCACTCACCATGTGCTCCACGCGGAGTTCAAAGGGCATGGGGTTGTAGACCATCAACTGGACCTCACACACATCTCCCTGGACCCACTGGAACTCTGAGGAGTTAAAAGAATACATTACAGTGAATCTCAGACCAGGAGAAACTGATGCATTACATGTCTGAGCAACAAATGTACATGCAACACACAGACAAATATGAGTTCAATTATGTGGGTATGTGTGGCCTAGGTTGATCTAGCTACAGCCTCCGGCACTCATGTCTATGGTGTCAGCATATAGTAGGTTTGAATCCGGCCTACTGCCCTTTGACATAATCTCTATCTTTCTCCACTGTCATCCTCTATCTGTTCATTAAAGTCAGAAAATACCTTACAAATATATCATTATAATTATGTGGGTATGTGAGTAATAGATTAGAATAGAATTCAGGGATGTGGAAATAATGTGAAACGTTAAATATGGATTGTTAAGTCTATAGTTATATTTTCAATATGCCAGAGTATTTCAATTGCAATTAAAACCATCCTGTTTGATAAAAATAATTACCTCAATGTGCCTCACGCACAGACAGACAAGTTCATAGTTAATTACTTTATGAAAGCCAATAAACCGCAAATAAACAAAAAAATATATAGATTGAGCTGTTGGCTCTCAGCAAATTTGTACATTTAATTTCGTATTCCATTAGCCATGCAGTAACATTTGACTTGAGGCAACTAAAAACCAGTTAAAAGTGTTGTTGGTGAGAGCTGCTCAGGAGGATGTAAAGGATCTGTTTCAGGGTTCAGCGTCAGGCCAGTTGACAAAACAAGGCAACCAAGTGCATACTGTAATGATGACCGGATTATATTATATTACTATTAGAAGACTTAGGAGATGATTAAGCAAAGCATGTGCAGTGTTTCCCCTAGGGTTTTTTTCAGCAGTGTTGGCAACGTTCGTGCAATGACATACTAGCTGTTCCCATAGACTTCCAGTAGCAGTGTCATTTGGCAGTGGAGGAGGGATTCTGAGATGGAGACAGGTGGGAAACAGCTCTGTTACCAAACACACTACCGTCTTCCATTTCCATTTCTACATTTTCAATCTCTAAATGCATTAAACTGTCCCACTAGAGGACTTGGCTGAGCCTAAGCCCCGAACAACACACACACTTCCATCTCCATTCTCTGAGCCCAGGACTTGGTGGGTTAAGAGGATTTATGGACAGTAAAGTAAACTACCGGCGTGCACCTTGGGAAATTAAAACTTTAGTCCAAAGTAGGAAGAAAGAGAAGCAGGAAGAAGGGTATCTATATAATATAAAATGGTAAAATGAGCCTTTCTCACAACCCCAGGTCTGCCTCTCAGGTATCCTCCTCACAGAGCCAATTACATAAAAACATGCCTCAAAGAGTTGAGGAGAGCTGAGCGGCAACCATCTCAATTGTGTGTCCCAAATGGCACCCTATTCCCTTCACATTGCACTTCTTCCCTATGGGGCCCTGGTCAAAAGTAGAGCAATATAAAGGGACTAAGGTCCATTTGGGACGCACCCTAGCCTCCCTCTGTACTTAGAGGCTCCTGGCCATTCATTCATTCCAGATTAAAGAGAGAGCAGGAAGGTTCAGCACTTCAGAACCTCAGTGTGAATATTAATCATGTGGTGGAGTGTTGCTAGCCTGAGTACCAGTCTCATTAGCTAACATTCCACCCCTTGCCGCTCCTGGTCATCGCCAAAGAGGACCCTGTTGGAGCGACCGGAACAGAACAAAACAGGCACTGCAGATGATGTGTTGGTTCTACTGAATGCTGACACAGGGCACACACATCGCTGTAAGACTTTCAGCCCCAGTAATATGCTGTGTTGAATAATGCATCCTTACGATGGCCGGCTCGCCTGGGCAATGGAGCATAAAACATGCGTGTGAAATAGAGCAAATCTGGAGGAGGACACTGATGTATTAGAACATAACCATACCACCATTTATACAGTGTGTGTGTGTGTGTGTGTGTGTGTGTGTGTGTGTGTGTGTGTGTGTGTGTGTGTGTGTGTGTGTGAAATGCTAGGTGCGAAGGGAGGCTTGTGTGTGTGTGTGGATATATGGATCAAGCCTCTACTTCCTCTGCTCTGCTCCAGTCCTAAACACAACCGGCTAACAGTTTGCACACTGATTCATCATCGCTTTGTAAATAAATACGTTAGTAGTAGTTTTACTACCTTGCTTTTCAACCAAGGTGCACAAATAGACGAGCAAACTGAAAAAGACACAAATGTTCAGTCTTTCTTTCTGCCTCTTCATCTTGAATTGAAATGGTATTGACCCCAACCCTGGCCTCAACATACCCAGCCAGCTTGTTACAAGTGCTGAAGCTTTGATAGTGTGAATGAAAAGCAATAAAAGGCTTAGTAGAGTGTGAGTTGTTGTACTGGAATCTTATTTCCAGAGATTTTATATTAAAGAGACAGTACAGATTCCATTTAATGTAGTTATTCCCTCTGTGTGAGTGTCCCTGCAGGGGAAACGTTTCAGGGATCGTGTGTGTGTGTAGATATATGGATCTAACCTCTACTAACAGTTTGCACACTGATTCATCATCGCTTTGTAAATAAATTCGCTAGTAGTTTTTCTACCTCGCTTTTCACCTTGCAGTTATTCCCTCTGTGTGTGAATCCCTGCAGTTACAATCCCTGAAACATTTACCCTGCAGGGACACACACACACACACACACACACAGTGGGTCAGCGCGTTAGCAGGGGGCAAACAAACACTAACAGTTGCCTGCATTCTGACACAGAGCCTAACCACCCTCACACACAAAACACATTTTCACAGTCGATTCACCTGCTTATCCCCACGTTCATACAGTGATGGATCACAGTGAGTGAATCTGGCACCCTGGCCTGCTATGGATGTAATGTTGTATCTATCATTGCCTGCTATGGATGTCATGTATCTGACTACCAGCAGCCTGTTATGGACGCCCGAGCAGCCAATCCATGAATCAAACAGACAGTATCACCATACAGACACACAGCCAGAGGATCCACTATCAACGCTGATGTAGAATGACTCATCATTACTCTCTGTTTCCTGGTGAAATTACATCAAACACTGCTTCGACAAACCTTGAGTAGTAGTCTCTAGATTACCAGTAGAGTAAGCCTGTTGGCATCGTTTGGAAATCAAACATTTTTCAGTAGTCGTAGGCAAACCTGGGTTCAAATACTATTTGGAATATTTGTTTTAATACTTTGAGCGTTTGCTTTAGCCTGCCTGGCGTGCCAGATTGGCAGGATTTGCACTTTTGCAACTGTTCTATTGGCTCATTGACGCAAGCAAGCTTAATCAAGTCCAGCGGAAGTATTTGAACCTAGGTCTAGAAACGTCCCATTTTCCAGTAGTGGAACTCCGGTCCAGTTAAATGAGGCCTGCTGGTGTCATTGCCTCATCACATAGTATCCCGGAGCAGAGAGAAGGCTTTAGTGCTCTAATGTGAGGAGCACAACCACACCATCACATAAAATAGGTCTCTCTGTTGCGTAAACTAACAGAGGAATCAACGTCTAAAGCTTTGAGATTTGTGAGTTTCATGAAACTACAAGTAATTAAGGTAACATTTTATTTGAAGGGTACTTACTTCAGGACTTCATAATCCATTCATAACCTATACATAACACATTCATAAGCAGTACATTAATGAGGAGTTGTTTTGAGACCGTTTCTGAGTTCACTATACTGCTGCTGTGCTGTGAGAACCAGCTCTGGCAGAGTAGGGTGTGGTCTGTTTCAAGTGTTGAAACAGATCATGATTGAGGCTCATTGCGCACCTAATGAGACAGAGGAGGTATATTACCCATTCAGTTATCGCTCCCTCTCTCTGCTACTCATTTAGTTTACATCCCTCCTCCCATCCTCCCCTCCCCCCCAGATACCCACACACACAAATGAACAGTTTTGAAGTTGAAGCCCCCTTAATATTCAAACGGCTTCCTAAATGTTCCAACTACCAACAGCCAGTTGGTACTACCCAGCTCCTCTCTAGCTTCTCTGGGTCTCGCCCTCTTGGTCTCTGTCTCCCTCTCCCTGTCTCTCTCCCTCTCTCTTTCTCTCTCGCCCTCGCTCTCTTTCTCTTTGTGGGCCATTTGCCCAGGGGCCACTTAAGACTGTCGACAGCCCAGTAAACCGTTGCTTCGCAAATCACACCTGGTATTTTCTGCCAAGCATTTTTGCTATTCAGAAATTCCTGAATCAATTTAGATAGTGGGACAATTGGAGTGCCTAGACTAATACATGAGAGCAATGTAACAAATCTACACATGCTAAAATAACCATTGACAATAACAACATATACGAGAACAATTTCAACAAATCAACTTCCGCTATTACTGTATTATCCCATTCAAATAAGCAGTGCACATCTTGTTTCATAACATTATATTGCTGCATTCCATCTTTTCTAATTTGAAAGGAAGATTTTGTGATGTCTCATGGTCTGACAAACACTGCTCTAGCTCTGTCACCTTTCACCGCAGAAGTGTTACATAGGCGGATGTTGTGGATTGAGACGCATCCAATGCAAAAAAACAGATTATCTCTAGCTTAAACTGACAGATTTTTAGGGGGATTTTTAGGGGGTTAAAACAGAGTCTCAGAGCAATTATGTGCAAAACAATCAATGTTACAGAAATACCAACTAGCTCATTCCAAAAGTCGATTTCTGACTCGCTTTCTAACTAGTTAATTGATAGTACATTAGCCCTGTTTTAGGGACTCTGAGCTGTATAAATGATATGGAGTGGCTGCGTGACCTGTGTTCACTCTGCCCCCCAGGACGCCTTTTCACGTTTTCTAAACCTCCTTTTAACATTATATGCATGTGTTGTTTTGCTCCAATGTAATTTCCCTGTAGACAGGGCATGTTAAATAAAAACGTTTTAGTTAAAAGGGTACAAAAACACTGTGGGGTTTTCCCCTAAAAATGTCCTTGCCTCTGGTAGTTATAACATATTTACATCAGCTTAATCTCTGGTGACAGACTGTTTAACGTAAATGTTAATGTCCGTCTGCCGGCTCCACTTGATTTGGTTCTGGGCTCTGAGATTAATGGCAGTTAAAAGAAAGTCATGAGGTGCAAGGAGACTGATGAGAGACCAAGGCTGAGGAAACCTCTTAGGCACTGAAAGCTTTGATTTTTAGATAACCGAGACAGCTGCATAAAACGAATGTTAGCGTCGTTGAAAACTAAAATAGTAATTGGATTTGTTAGAAAGGAAACAAAACCCATGTTGTGTCAGCAGACTATACTATAATAATAATCACGGAGGGAGGGAGGGAGGGAGGGCAGGGCCCATGTTCCTTATTAGAAGCTGTAGCCACAGAAATAATACCAATCCCAGAGTGGAGGAACATACCTTCAGACTCACAGAGAGAGACAGAGAGAGAGAGAGAGAGAGACAGAGATAGACAGAGATAGACAGAGAGAGAGAGAGAGACAGACAGACAGACAGACAGACAGACAGACAGACAGACAGACAGACAGACAGACAGACAGACAGACAGACAGACAGACAGACAGACAGACAGACAGAGAGACAGAGAGAGACAGAGAGAGACAGAGAGAGAGAGAGACAGAGAGAGACAGAGAGAGAGACAGAGACAGACAGAGAGAGAGAGACAGAGAGACACAGAGAGAGAGACAGAGAGAGACAGAGAGCGAGAGAGACAGAGAGAGACAGAGAGCGAAAGAAAGAGAGAGAGAGAGAGAAAGCGAGAGAGAGAGCGAGAGAGAGACAGAGACAAGAGAGAAGAGAGAGAGAGAGAGAGAGAAGAAGATAGAGAGGAAGAAGAGAGAAAGAGAGAGAGAAGAGAGAGATAGAGACCAGAGAGAAAGAGAGAGAGAGAGAGACATAGAGCAGAGAGAGAGAAAGACGAGAGACAGAGAAAAGAAGAAAGAGACAGAGAAAAGAGAAGAACAGAGAGAGAGAGACAGACAAGAGAAGACAGAGAGATACAAGAAGAGAGCAGACAGACAGAGAGACAAAGACAGAGAAAAGAGACAGAGGAGAGAAAAGAGAGAGAGAGAGAAGAGAGAGAGAGAGAGAGGAGAGAGAGAGAGAGAGAGAGGAGAGAGAGAGGGAGAGAGAGAGAGAGAGAGAGACAGACAGGACAGACAGAGAGAGACAGACAGACAGAGACAGAGAGAGAGAGACACAGAGAGAGACAGAGACAGAGAGAGACAGACAGAGACAGAGACAGAGAGAGAGAGAGAGAGAGAGAGAGAGACAGAGACACAGAGACAGAGACAGAGAGAGACAGAGACAGAGAGGAGAGAGAGAAAGCGGGGAGAACGAGAAAGAGAAAGAGACAGAGAGAGAAAGGTACATGCCCGACACGACGACACCGTACAGAGGATATTTCTGAACCAATCCCTCAAGCTCTACTGGATTTAATGAGCTTAAGAATGACATTTTGACAACAACTTGTTTCTGGCCCTCGCAAAATGAAAGACTTTTCTGTCTCAAACCAACGCCTACACAACTAACCAAACACCACGCTTCACACTACATCACATAGACATCTCTACAGAGCTTTTCATGACATTGCTGCTCCAATATTCAGCCAAATGTTGCATGTGTTTCATGGTAACATGTTTGAGATCACAAAACACTGAAACGGACGTATCGGTGACAGGATGCAAAAAGCTGTCGTTTCTCATCCACCAAAGATTTCCTGTCAGAGTAGGAGGAGTGACTCATATCGTAGCCTTGGGATGTGTTGCGTTCCTTTGGCCCTGAGTGACGAATCCCTCTTTCAGTTTGGGAATTTATTACAGAAGCATATTCATTCAAAATTGGGGGCCTGTTAAGATAATAGAAGTCGTTTACAAGGGTGGTCTGACAGGAGAGTGGGCACAATGAAACGCACGCAGAGAGAGAGAGAGAGAGACGAGATGATCCCCTTGAGAGATCTATAGAAGCAGATCGCTATACTTCTCTAGCTGTCCTCTACTGTATCCGAAGTTCGTCCTGCTGATGAGTCGATGTTAGCTATATTTCGCAATCCGCCTCTCAGCTCCTCTCGTTCCCTGCGCAGAGAAGCCACAATGAAATTAAACCAATGAATTATAGATAACACTGAAAGCACTTTATCTTTTGAATAGATATTTAAATGTATTTGTTGTTATTTTTCCCTCTCGACTTGTTTGTTTGTTCTCCGGTGAAGACGTGACTGTCAATCTTGTTAGTCTGGGAGCGGAGATATTATACTGATAAATCAGGCGTGGGAGGAGACGACGTTATCCTACAACTCAAGTGTCCCTGATGTTTATACACACAGATGCCTGTGTGTGTGTGTGTGTGTGTGTGTGTGTGTGATGTCATTGTGACAAACAGTAATGATTCACTGTTCAATATAGCCTACATGACGAAAGAACAAGCTGTAAGGAAAGGAAAGTAATTAGGAAGGACTGAAAAATGATTTAACCTAAAAGATGAGGCCTCACACTCCAGTACAGTATCTGAGCACAGATGACATCACACTAAGACAGGACACAGCTATAATCAAAGAGAGTCTACAATGAACGAACAGTGAATGGAGAAAGATGGAATGGATTTCAGTCACATTGAAAAATTAAATAACGATTCTAACAGCCATTGTGTTGAGTCCATCTGATCCGATTTGGCACTGTATTATCAGAGAGAGAGTTCACATTCCTTGGATTCTGTGAGAAGCCAGAGTATTTACATTTACATTTTTAGTCATTTAGCAGACGCTCTTATCCAGAGCGACTTACAGACCTCATCCTGAAAAGCCATCTGTCACAATCATGAGAATGTCTGCCAAAACTAGATACGTTTTTAAGATCCAGAATCTTTTTAAAGAAGTGAATGTTTAGGAACAAAGAGAGCAGAGAGAGAACAGAGAAAGCTCCTGGTTTAATTATGGAATTAGTCAAGCGTGTATAGAGGATGAATTTACACCATTACGTTATTTAGAGACGTTTTACAATGAAAATATTAGTAAGCCTAAAACTGCTTTACTTTGACACGGCAACTTCAGAAGGTGTGTGTGCGAGCGTGTGGTGCCCACCTATCTTCAGAAGGTGTGTGTGTGTCGTGCCTACCTATCTTCAGAAGGTGTGTGTGTGGTGCCTACCTATCTTCAGAAGGTGTGTGTGTGGTGCCCACCTATCTTCAGAAGGTGTGTGTGCGTGTGTGTGTGTGTGTGGTGCCTACCTATCTTCAGAAGGTGTGTGTGCGTGTGTGTGTGTGTGTGTGGTGCCTACCTATCTTCAGAAGGTGTGTGTGTGGTGCCCACCTATCTTCAGAAGGTGTGTGTGTGGTGCCCACCTATCTTCAGAAGGTGTGTGTGTGGTGCCCACCTATATTCAGAAGGTGTGTGTGTGTGTGTGTGTGTGTGTGTGTGGTGCCTACCTATCTTCTTGTTGCGCTCCTCTCCTCTGTTGTGCATGATGATGGGAGAGTAGATGAAGGGACTCTTAGTGGACATGTTGTTTCCCAGAAGGCCTTTCTGTTTGTGGGGGCGCAGGCTGATGGGCAGGTCCAGCAGCTTCGCTGACCTGTAGGAGGGGAGAACCAATCAATTCATCAAATGTATTTATAAAGCCCTTTTTACATCAGCAGTTGTCACAAAGTGCTTTACAGATACCCAGTCTAAAACCCCAAAGAGCAAGTAATGCAGAAGCACAGTGTCTTGGAAAAACTCCCTAAAAAGGCAGGAACCTAGTAAGAAAACCTAGAGAGGAACCAGGCTCCGAGGGGTGGCCAGTCCTCTTCTGGCTGTGCCGGGTGGAGATTTAAGAGTACATGTGGCCATTAAGGCCAGATCATTTCTCAAGACGGTTGTCAAGGGACGGGAGACGGAGAAGGAGCGAAGGAGGCAGAGAGAAAGATAAACAGTTTTATCTCAACAGCCATGTCCATTAAAGGTCCCAAGAGAGAAAATTAGATGGATTTTGGCATGGTGACCTGAGCCAAACACACACACACACACACACACACAGATACAGACACACACAACTCTGCCAATCAGATAGATGGCAGCCGAACATAAATCCAGTAGAATTGGTGAATTCCGTCCTGAGATTCAAGCCCAGACCATTTAATGAGCAAAGCACTCTGGAGGTGTGAATTGGAGCTAGTGGACACAGCACTTATCACCTCTCTGAGTAGCCAGGCATTCATCTATCTATCTACACACAGACAAACTGTACAGACGGTCCTCCATCTCTCCTGGTTCTACTAATGGCCCTGCCACCACAGAAAGAGGGGGAGATGGATACAGAGAAGATAGAAAACAGGAAGAAAAAGTGGATATAGAAGACAAGTGTTTTGAGTGAACTTACTGTAACCTAAACACTAGGCTGCCTTTTAAAAAGCACAGTACTATTTTCTTCTCAATAGTGCTGAGCGATTACTGCTTTTTCAGGTCGGTTCAGTTTCAGTTCGATTATTAAAAATGTATCACGGTTTTCGATTTCGATTATTTGGGATGAATGCTGTAACACAGAATAAAACAATGAATAAAAACTTCATTGACTTCCCATGACTGATTATCACTTATTAACCATCATTTATTCACATTACTTTACTTTAATAAAACAATTCAGTTGTTGTGTATATTATATTTGTTGACTTTATTATTTTATTCCAAGTCATTTTATCTCTATAGAGCTGCTGCCTATGCTGTCTGAGAAAATCCCTATTTTAGTAGTTCTTCAAAGTAAATAAGGCATACTTTTATGACTGCTGAATACAAACTATCAATCACTTTGATCATTTATTTTCAGGTAGAGATCCATCACGATCGCACATTGTAGTTAATTACCAAGTTTTATGCGCTAAACTATGTAGAATATTGGCCTGTTAAAAACTACAACTCCCTACTAAATCGCACAGTTCAGGCTGGATCTGATTTATCTCTAGAGAAACTGTGTGATTATCCCAGAAACCCTAGACCCACTCCAATTTGCATACCGCCCCAACAGATCCACAGATGATGCAATCTCTATTGCACTCCACACTGCCCTTTCCCACCTGGACAAGAGGAACACCTACGTGAGAATGCTATTCATTGACTACAGCTCAGCATTCAACACCATAGTGCCCTCTAAGCTCATCACTAAGCTAAGGATCCTGGGACTAAACACCTCCCTCTGCAACTGGATCCTGGACTTCCTGACGGGCCGCCCCCAGGTGGTAAGGGTAGGTAACAACACATCTGCCACACTGATCCTCAACACGGGGGCCCCTCAGGGGTGCGTGCTCAGTCCCCTCCTGTACTCCCTGTTCACCCATGACTGCATGGCCAGGCACGACTCCAACACCATCATTAAGTTTGCCGACGACACAACAGTGGTAGGCCTGATCACCGACAACGATGAGACAGCCTATAGGGAGGAGATCAGAGACCTGGCCGTGTGGTGCCAGGACAACAACCTCTCCCTCAACGTGACCAAGACAAAGGAGATGATTGTGGACTACAGGAAAAAAAAGAGGACTGAGCACGCCCCCATTCTCATCGACGGGGCTGTAGTGGAACAGGTTGAGAGCTTCAAGTTCCTTGGTGTCCACATCACCAACGAACTATCATGGTCCAAACACACCAAGACAGTCGTGAAGAGTGCACGACAAAGCCTATTCCCCCTCAGGAGACTGAAAAGATTTGGCATGGGTCCTCAGATCCTCAAACAATTATACAGCTGCACCATCGAGAGCATCCTGACTGGTTGCATCACCGCCTGGTATGGCAACTGCTTGGCCTCTGACCGCAAGGCACTACAGAGGGTAGTGCGTACGGCCCAGTACATCACTGGGGCCAAGCTTCCTGCCATCCAGGACCTCTATACCAGGCGGTGTCAGAGGAAGGCCCTCAAAATTGTCAAAGACTCCAGCCACCCTAGTCATAGACTGTTCTCTCTGCTACCGCACGGCAAGCGGTACCGGAGTGCCAAGTCTAGGTCCAAAAAACTTCTCAACAGCTTCTACCCCCAAGCCATAAGACTCCTGAACAGCTAATCATGGCTACCCGGACTATTTGCACTGCCCCCCCACCCCATCCTTTTTACGCTGCTGCTACTCTGTTAATTATTTATGCATAGTCACTTTAACTCTACCCACATGTACATATTACCTCAACTACCTCAACTAGCCGGTGCCCCCGCACATTGACTCTGCACCTGTACCCCCCTGTATATATAGCCTCCCTACTGTCACTTTATTTTACTTCTGCTCTTTTTTTTCTCAACACTTTTTTTGTTGTTGTTTTATTTTTACTTTTTTTGTTAAAAATAAATGCACTGTTGGTTAAGGGCTGTAAGTAAGCATTTCACTGTAATGTCTGCACCTGTTGTATTCGGCGCATGTGACCAATACAATTTGATTTGATTTGTCTGTAATGTGCGCATTGAGCTCACAGTAAAAAAACGAACAAAAAATTAGTTGTTTAAAAAACAAAAAATAACCGACATTTTGGTTAATCGCTCAGCACTACTTCTCAATGACTAACCTGGCTAAATAAAATAAATTCACTTGAAATGCATTAATTAAAAATGGCCAACTCAATTTACACAAAGCTTAACTATTTTCAACGGCCAAGCATAGACCACTAAACATGTTGTTGCAAAAGCAACAGAGCCACAGACTAGCCAAGCCTATTCAACAGAGCCCCAGACTAGCCAAGCCTATTCAACAGAGCCCCAGACTAGCCAAGCCTATTCAACAGAGCCCCAGACTAGCCAAACCTATTCAACAGAGCCCCAGACTAGCCAAACCTATTCAACAGAGACCCAGACTAGCCAAGCCTATTCAACAGAGACCCAGACTAGCCAAGCCTATTCAACAGAGACCCAGACTAGCCAAGTCTATTCAAAAGAGCCCCAGACTAGCCAAGTCTATTCAACAGAGCCCCAGACTAGCCAAACCTATTCAACAGAGCCCCAGACTAGCCAAACCTATTCAACAGAGACCCAGACTAGCCAAACCTATTCAACAGAGACCCAGACTAGCCAAGTCTATTCAACAGAGCCCCAGACTAGCCAAGTCTATTCAACAGAGCCCCAGACTAGCCAGGTCTATTCAACAGAGCCCCAGACTAGCCAAGCTGGCCTAATATTCAACAGAGCCCCAGATTAGCCAAGCCAGGCCTATTTAACAGTGGTGTTCATTTCTGTTATTTGACTGACTTTTACTGAAACATAAACAAGTCATATTTCACCATAAACATATTTACAAGTAGATGCTTCTGTAAATCAGAGTGTCATGTAAAATGTGCACTTAGATCACAAACAGCTACAACACTGTGTTCTGGCCAGGGGGGAGGAGGGTGGAGAATAGCTACAATCATTACACCATTGTCAGAATTACCTGACATTGTTGAGCGGGAAGAAATATTGTCTATTGATCAATCACGCCAGTCAGAGTAGCAGTTACTTGATGTTAGAACACTGTCGTAACTATGATGAGCTCATTGGTACATTGATTAGATCAATCAGAATATGACAGTTCAGACACCAGGGTTGTGTTCATTAGGGCCCACCATAGCAAAAAAGTTTTGTAATGGAAAACGAAAACATGATTGACTTACGTACCTGACGATGGGTAGCTTGCTGAAGGGTACAGGGGCCAGTTTGAGTCCATCAGGCAGGGTGATAACCTCCATTCCTCCTGGACATTTAGATGTGTAGTTCTCCAGACTCTGAGTCACCTCCTTCTTCTCTGTGGAGCGGAGAAAGAAGTGACAAGGGTTAGAAACCTAGAGCACAGGGGGATCCCGAGTGCCGACCCGGGTTCGATCCCAGGCTGTGTCACAACTGGCCGTGACTTCTTGTGGCGGGCCGGGCGCCTGCAGGATGACTTCGGTCGTCAGTAGAACAGTGTTTCCTCCGACACATTGGTGCGGCTGGCTTCCGGGTTAAGCGGGCGGGTGTTAAGGAGTGCGGTTTGGCGGGTCATGTTTCGGAGGACGCATGACTCGACCTTCGCCTCTCCCGAGGCCGTTGGGGAGTTGCAGCGATGAGACAAGATCGCAATTAGATATCACGAAATTGGGGAGAAAAAGGGGGTAAAATAAAAAATCTAATCAAATGTAGAGCACATTATTGATGGTCAGTCTGACCATTTGAAGTGACCAGGAAAAACTATTTCTACAAAGACAGCCGTGCTTTTACAAGCCATAGTATGTAAAGCACATATTATTTGCCACCCTTTTGATAGACTCACCATTTGAAGTATCCAGTGGTCTCTCGCTATAACTAGTGCTCCTAGTCTAAGCAGATTACATGGCCCTGCCAACTTAATTTAGCATGATAACACTAATAACCCAACTCCAGCCCAGCCCTCTCTCCAGCCCTGTCCCTCCTCCCCATCCTTCAGGTTTTTAGACAGAGTGAGTTTTATAGCTGGATCAATAAAGACGTTTACGGCCGTGCTGTATCATCACTCATAAGCCTCGCTGCTTTAGTTGCAAACAAACATGTCTCTGAGTTGCTCTGCTGGCTGGGCCTCACACCA